TTATATGGGGTTTTACCAAAACGTGGACGTACTTTGGCCATTTTCAAAACCAAAAGTCTTGCAGATATAAAATATATCTGAGAAAATTTTGATAATAATAAATTTTAGACTCCACAAATTATATATAATCTTGATCAGCATAAAATTCTATATCGACTTAGACCATCAGACATCGGTCTAGATTCCGAACGAAATACTAACCTTTTTCGTCAAGATTATACAGAATTTGTGGAGTCTAAAATGTTAATTTCGAGAAGTTAGAAACGGAATGACAAAATTAATATTCCCTTCATTTGATTGTGGACGGTAAAAAAGGAACGACTCTCAAATATAATTTAGCAGAAGATTTTAGTGAAAGAATATTTATATATTATATTTTAAAACATGAGCCCTTATCGTACCATACTACGCGCTTTAAGTTCAAATGTCAAAAAAGACTATACCTTATGAAACTACGATATTGGTCTACAAAAATCTATTGTTTTTAGTACTTCTTGGTACAAATTTTCGAAAACCCTGCCTTACATCCCAACACCCAATATGTTAAATTTCGAGAATCCACAGAAATGGGCCTTTGCTTCCTCTCCCACAAGAGTTCAAAATTTTAAAAAATAATAATCTTATATATAACCTTAAATATAGCGAAAGGAGTACGCGATAGTTAATATTTTTATTATTCTTAATATAAATTATTTACATAATTATTCGGTCTGGTCTGAAAATGTTTAATATTGGACCGTAAATTCGCGTTCCTCTCCCACAAAATGTCAAAATTTAAAGAAATATAAAATTTTTAAAGGTGGAGATTCAAGGTCGGCTTTCTTTAAAATTTGTTCGTCCCAATATTTTTGCCTATATTCAAGCCTATATTGCCTATATTCATGCGAAATAGTGGTACCTGGTGATATACAGTGGTGCGTGGTGATATTTATATCAGACCTAGATCAATATCGATCATGGAAATGTTGGTGAACCATTTCTCATACATCAACTGAAGGTCAAAATTGTGAGTACTAATAAAAGCATAGACAAGGCCGCCTTGCTTCCAGGAAACCATTAATAAATTTATTTCGCTTGGTAAATGTAGGATATGAAATGAACCACACTGATAGCTTTCCATTGATCGTTTTTCATTAATGCGAGGAGCAAGAAACATTAACCCCATTTATTGACTTTTGAAATGATAATTTTTCGCCCCGGCAAAAATAGTCAACAACATCTGTTCGATATGCCCTCGGCAATTAAATGGGATAACATCACGTTTTGGCTAGATTTCCAATTTACATACATATTGACTTGTTTTATTATTGATTTCAAATAACTTGAGTTAATCGCAAATTACACGATCACGAATATTTCACCGTTTTTCCTCTACAACAAAACTAAAAAAAAATCAAAAAATACTAATCACAAGATAAAAACTCCATAAAATTTCATAAAATCAAACAGCAGCAAAAACCATCATCTTTTAAAGGAAGAAATAAATCGTGACTCAATCAAAATAATCTTCCAGAAGAAAATATGTACGTTGGAATTGTCATGTCAGTGCGACTTCGCACACAGCCCAAATAAATGGCACAAACAACTGGAGACGCTGTGGGTCGACTTCTTAATAACATTTTCCCGATGAGAGCAAGAGAAAACCTACATTTTCTGTTAATACAGAAGAGAGTAAGGCCTTTTACCTCTGATTTCTTTAATACCAGACTTCGGGAGAAACTTTAAGTTGGCAAAAGTCTTGTGTTTTACTCAAACATGTTATTTCTATTAGCATGTTAGGAGAAAATATTTGTTTGTTAAGGTGACCATGTATGCATTGTAGATACATTTCACCAAAACTCTTAAATACATTTGGCGAAAGATTGGCAGCATGTGTTCCCATTATGTAAGAAAGATCCTTGCATAGAACTATAAACATAGGTCTAAGTTTTGGTAAGGTCCCCAGATAATTGGACCTCCAAATATTCACTTTTCACCGGAAATATTTCAAATTGCAATTTTAAGTTGCTTCAAATTTCGTATTGTAAGTTCGTAATGGGTGTTGCAGTCTGTGACCAAAAATGGCCTATGCAGGTGCACGCCTTTGTATAGGTCCCATATAACGCACCTCCCTATATTTGGTATTTTGAAATAATTCAAATTTCGAATTTGAAGCTTCTAAAGGGTACTATAGTCTATGACAGTAAATTACATATGCTGGTCCAGGTCTTCGTAAAGCCCCCATATAACTTTATTTTGATCATTTTAGCGACATTGTTCATTGAAAAGCCGGTACACCCAAAACAAGTCACTTTTTGGTGCGGAATTTGGTCCAGAGTCATAATTGGAAATTTTTCTTCGAAAATGAGCCGGCAGTCACCACTACGTTATCAGACCATGTTGAACGAAAAGTTGCATATTGCCAACATTTGGTTTCAACAGGACGAAGTCTATGTTGATATCTGGAATTGAGATATGGAAGTGGTTTTGGAAATGTGTGCTATGACTGTTCGAAATGTATTTGGTGAGGGGATAAGCTGAAATACTGGAATTTGATAATTAGGTCACTGTTGATTACTAGGGTTTACATATGGAGACGTTGAATACGTTTTGGGCCAAAAGATTGGCCCATTGTGCCATGGTTTTACTAATGTCCTACTCGGTAAATTTCAAAATGAAAGATTTTGAAGACTTTTTGGCGCAAAAGATTAACATGTTCCTATTATTCTTTCCGAAAGAGAAAACTTGGATAATATATAAAGCCTTGAAATTCTAAAAATGTAGTTCAATAGGTGAGGTTTTGTCATACCTGATAATTTTTGCATTTTGAGTACTAAAGCGGCCTAACACGAACTTTTTGAACGAATCTAAACATTTTCATTCGCAAAAACGTTTGGCCAACGTCAAATATGACATTCAGAGTTCTTAATATGCTCAACAGGACCTTTCCACCTCAAAAGGAATTTTTAACACACCGCCCCCCCCCCCCCACCCAGACTTTAACAAGAGTTTAATAGTGTATTTGGGGATAAGCATTATGGTTTAATATGTTCGCCATTTTTGCCATAAAGTACGTAGGAATTAACAAGATATTGATTTTTATGGGTTTATACCTTTTTCTGATACAAATAGAAAAGTTCTTGTTTACATCATTTTATAAAATTCTATAAACTTTTTACCATTTAGATTTTTATACTGTTCTCGTGCGAGTTTTCAGATACCCGAAAATTAAATAAAACTTTTTGGGCGGTCACCCTTTTGTAAACCCGTTCAAACTCATTTTTTTTTTAATTTACCGCTTTTTCTCTAACTTATGAGTTGTATAGCTCTCAAACTTAGCCTCTATCTCCCTAATACGACGACATTTGCCGAAAAGAAAGAAAAAACTATTACGAAGATTCATCCATCCTTTTTTACAGTCGTGCCATGCCGTAATGTTGCTGCTACGGCTGCTTCTTCATTTCTGACCATTCATTATGGCATTACGCCGAAGTATTGTTGCTGTTGTTAATATTATCACGTTTTTGCTGTTGTTGCTATTGTTGTTATTGTGAGTATACGCGTACTTATGGAGCAAACTCAGTGCCCATTGCGGACCAAATATCGTCGGTCTGTTTAGCGGCTATGCTGTAATACGTGCTGATTGTGCGGTAATTTTACAATGTGCTTCGTCTGCCTGTGTGTCGGCTATTTGGTTGCCTTGCTGGTCGACTGGCTGGCTAACTGACTCACTGTAACGATTGTTGCTTTGAACTGTAATTGCTGTGGCCAGAGTCACACACAACGACTATGTAATGTCTCTTTGCACTCACAAGCAAATCGTCACATCAATACAATGACAATCAGCAATGATGATTTGATGAAGAAGAATTGAAGATGTAATGCAAAGGGTTATAAAAATAGAGTTATTTATTTAAAGTTATTGCGTTGTTTCAAAGCAGATAATTTGGCAACTATAGCAATTTGCTTATGGCATACTTTGCACAATGATGTCGTCTTGGATTTTACATGCATACTAGCTGAACCCGGCGTGCTTCGTTACTCCTTTCGTTTTATATGCATTTTCTTTCAAAAATAAATAAATAAATTCAAGAATTAAAAAAACGTAAATAATGTAATAAAATGTAAGATAAAAAATTGCTAAATTTAGTCGTGTATACGAAGGGACTGTCCTTGAGGGTATATTAAATTTGTCATTCCGTTTGTAACACCTCTGAATATTCGTCATAGAGCCCGTAAAGACCCCACTGCTAGCATAAAATTTCAAGTCTACTTAACGATGACCGTCTGTCTGTCTATTGAAATCACGATACAGCCCACACTATTTGACGTAGAGTACATTTGCACAGTAGATTGTGTTGTGTCTAGGATAGTTGGTATTGAAAATGAGATATATCGGTCCACGTTTTGGGGTAGCCCCCATATAATGGTAGCTCCTTATATTCGGTATTTTGATGGTTTTGAAAACCAATTTGTTTAAAAAGTGGTATTTGTAGTTCGTTATGGGTTCTAGCTCCAGTGGGGAGTATTATATTCATAGGTCCACGTTTTCGTATAGCCCACATATTAGTGATTTGGCGATTTATATCGTGTTTGGAGCATAAAATACTTGAAATCGGACGAAAATGTATATGAGAGCTATATCCAAATCTAAACCGATTTCAAAGTGTCGCCGTTTCGCGTCAAACTTCGACTAGATATGCTTCATCAGTCCACTCATTCTTGAACCTCCCCACAAATCGTAAATTTTTTGAAAATCATATATAAAGCGAACGGAAGACAGCATTCCATTAAACTTTCATACATGGTTTGAAATCCTATTCAACATATATCATCGTGAAAATCTTCAACACTGCATACCTTATTGAGTAACCCAATAGAGTAAAACGTCAATACTTGTGTACAAGTATTAGTTGTTACTGTAATTTGAATGGACATGTTGCTGTCAAGAGACTAACTTTGTTTACATACAAAAATAATCCCCCTCTCCGAGGTCCATTGTGAAGAAAATTTCCAAAAAAAAAAACTTCATGCAATCTAGTGATGATGTTGCTGTTTTATGTTTTTGTTTTGTTTTTGCAACGTTGGTAAAGAAATAGTAATGGGGCCTACGGCCATGGCGTCAACAGATCAGCAGCAACAATAACAAAAAAGCATTGCGACATCACCTTTTTCCACCGAAGAGGATGATATGGACCTGAACCAAGTAAGCCTTACCATTGTTTTGGAAATTTTCTCCTGCCTGGGTTGTGCGACAGTGATTGCTGGTGTGAACCTTCTCCCAGCCAAATTGAGGAGAGCGAGAGAGAGCTTCACAACAAATAGAAGAAGTCACCGTCTCAAACTCATCCAAGTCCCAAATAACAGCTGTTTTGGTATTTGTATGCATGCCACTGCAAATGAATTTGGAGCTGTTGTAGACAAACTCTGGCTAACAGAGGTGAACTCCATCAGTTTTGGTATAAATGGATGATGCGGCAGCTGGAGACCGCCAGTAAACCATTCGATTTAGTTTAATAAACAACAATAAAAAAAAGTCGCAACCTCAATCGCGAATCAGAACTTTCCATCTTTTCCAACCCCCTATCTTTTGCTTACAACAACCACAGTTTTTGGTCGGTCTGACGGAGTAGTTCGGAGCACCGCAGACAAAGGATTACCATTGATTGCATCAAGTCTGTGTAGAAAAGAGTTACGTTACATAACAATTTAATTGTTCTATCGAAAGTTCGAGGAAACCCTACAGGCCAAAATGAAGGCATTTATTTTAATGTCATGCCTGGCTCTGGCTGCCGCTAGACCAGAAGCTGGTTATGCATACAACAGACCAGGTGGAAGTGGAGGTGGTGGTGGCGGCGGTTTCGGTGGAAGCTCCGGAGGTGGCGGATTTGGTGGTGGAGGTTTCGGCGGTGGTGGTTCCGGAGGCTTTGGTGGTGGTAGCTCCGTAGGTTTTGGAGGTGGTGGCTCCGGAGGATTCGGAGGTGGTTCTAGTGGAGGTGGTGGTTTTGGAGGTGGCGGATTTGGTGGTGGATCTGGTGGCGGTTTTGGCGGTGGTTCTGGCGGAGGTTTTGGTGGCGGTAAGTTGGGAAGTAATAATGTAAGATTTGGGCCTTTTATTGAGTTTCAATCATTTTAGGATCCGGTGGTGGTTTTGGCGGCGGTGGCTCAATTGGCGGTTTTGGTGGAGGCGGCGGCGGTGGCACTACCTTGGTACAAAAACACATCTATGTCCATGTTCCTCCACCAGAGCCCGAGGAGTCTCGTCCTCGTCCCAACATCCCTGTTGGTCAAGCCCAAAAACACTACAAGATCATTTTCATCAAGGCTCCATCACCTCCATCTTACCAAGCTCCAGTCATACCAGTGCAGCCACAGAACGAAGAGAAGACCTTGGTTTACGTATTGGTTAAGAAACCCGACGACCAACAAGATATTGTTATTCCAACTCCTGCTCCAACTCAGCCTTCCAAACCCGAAGTCTACTTCATCAAATACAAGACCCAAAAGGATGGCGGCAGTGGTGGTGGATCCGGTGGTTATGATTCTGGCAGTGGCGGTATTGGAGGTGGTAGTGGAGGTGGTGGCAGCGGTGGCTACGATTTGGGTGGTGGCTCTGGCGGCGGCAGTGGTGGCGGTGCTCCATCAACCAACTACGGTCCTCCTGGTAAATCTGGTCCTTACTAAAAACGATCAGATACAGACCAAGGCGGAGTAAAAAATTAGCACTCATATGACCACTGACATGTTGTTTGAAAAGAACCAATCGACATTAACGCTATCTACTACTAGTCCTACTAGAAAACACAACCATTTTTGCATCTAGACCATTCAAAAATCAAATGATTGACTTTTGACTTCTCGGACGAGACCAACAATCCAATTCAATGACGCTGTGACTTTTTCCAAAATATAATTAACGAAAATAGGACGTCCAGTTCTTAAGAAAGGTTCCAACGAACAGTTGGAAAAGTGGACTTCTCCCACGAACCTGAGAACGCAATGAATGAAAAGAACAAAGTACACATGAAGATCTGTGGTTATCCTGCTCATCGCAAAAAAAAAGAAAACAATACTCATCCTCTTGTATATAAGCCATGTTTTATTCTATATCCTCAACTTGTGATCATCTGTCTATATCGCTCTCTGTATAGTTCTCTTTGGGCTGACTATGGTCCGAACTGTGACACTATCCTGTCCATCTATTGTTGTTAGTTTAAGGATGTCTGCTTTGGAGATTTAATTCAAGAGTTAAGTTTTAATTTTTTGTTAATATTATTTTTTATGTTTTGTTTTTAACGAAATCTCCCAGGTGGGCGCGTTATGTTAAATTGTTTATTAATTAATTGTATTAATTTGTTAAGTACTTTTATTATGCACAATAAAAACGACGGTGACAAAATTTGAAAAAACAAACACACACGCCCTAATTGTTATTCTCATTGGGAATGTCAGAGAAAAGCCACTTGAAATTTTAATTGAAATAACAAGTCACGGCAACACTTCGTAGATGATAGACATCACGCAAAGACTGCAGAGTTGGGCACAAATCAAATCAGCTTCAAATTCAGATACTTCTTCCCAACTGTCAATCTAGTCAATGGGCATATTAATTACATTTTTTTTTTTTTTGAAATTGAAGTTGTAGGAAAAAACTTATACGAGGTGGCTGACACTTCATTCAGAAAATGGATTTTTAATGATATTCGAGCTTGCCTTGATTTTATTTTTAACAGTCAATTAATAAATGTCATTAATATGTTGATTCGAAGAGATAATTTAAAACAAATTAGTTATAATTTAATGAAATGGATTCATTGAATTCGATAGACTCATGCTAAATAGAAATTCAATTAATATGGGACAAAAATTTAAATTTATGAGTTTTTTAGGAAAAAAATTAATAAAATTGTTAAAATGATTAAACAAAATTTTCTTTGTGATTGGTTGTGATATAAGTTCAAGATTTATTAAAAACAAATAGGAATTGTCAAAGAATTTCAATTAAATTGAAAATCCGTTTGCTAAATAAAACATACTTTAAAACAAGTAAAAAAAGGAGTTCGGCCGGGCCGAACTTTTAATACCCTCCACGTTTTGGGAAAAGGCAACATTTTTATATAAAAGTGTCTAAATTCAAGCGTAATTCACTTTGTACTTCATATACCAGTAAGAAAATTTGCATAATGCAGTTAAACTTATCAAAATACCATAAAATGAGAGACAAAACGAGACAATTTTATACTTCAAAGATTGTCATCTATCAAAACTTCTAAAATACCAAATTTGAAACAATTATGTGGGTAAATGTGACTAAGATTATCATACCGAAAATCGGTGAGTATCGTTATATGTGCGCTATAGGAAAATTTGCAACTAAATATTCAATGTTCAGCTACCCATTATGAACTACAAATACCAATTTTTATCAAAATATGGAATATAGCAGGTACCGTTATATGGGGGGCATACCAAAACGTGAACCTATACATGCTATGTTTCGCCAAACGAGCTAGAACCAATTATGACCTAAAATATCAATTTTTAGACAAATCCGTGGAAAATGTGGCAAAAATCATCAAAATATGGAATATCGAAAGGTACTGTTATATGAGGGCATTCATTTTCAATAGCTGCAATCCTAGACACAATACATATTTTTCTGTGCTACGTCAAATAATGTGGGCTGTATCGTGATTTCAAAAGACAGACAGACAGACGGTCATTGTTAAATCGACTTAGAATTTGATGGTGATCATGAATATAAATACGTTATCCCTAAATACGACGAATATTTAGGGATGTCACAAACGGGATGACAGAGTTAATATGCCCTCCTTTCCAATTGGCTTCTATTCTGACCATAACTCTATGAAAATATTAGTGACGATCGGACACGTATGGTTAGATCGACTCAGCTCAGCGAGATAGGATGAGCTATATATAACAACGTGGATTTAGGACCATTATTTCGAGGTATTTCAAACTTGTGGGACAATTAAAATTATGATATCCCCAAAAACATAGTGTTGTAATGGCAAGATAAAAAAGTGCAAAAAAAAAAGAAACACCATAATTATCGTGATTTCAAAAGACAGACAGACAGACGGTCATTGTTAAATCGACTTAGAATTTGATGGTGATCATGAATATAAATACATTATCCCTAAATACGACCAATATTTAGGGATGTCACAAACGGGATGACAAAGTTAATATGCCCTCCTTTCCAATTGGCTTCTATTCTAACCATAACTCTATGAAAATATTAGTGACGATCGGACACGTATGGTTAGATCGACTCAGCTCAGCGAGATAGGATGAGCTATATATAACAACGTGGATTTAGGACCATTATTTCGAGGTATTTCAAACTTGTGGGACAATTAAAATTATGATATCCCCAAAACATAGTGTTGTAATGGCAAGATAAAAAAGTGCAAAAAAAAAAAGAAACACCATAATTTTAACTTTTCTTCTTTAATGAAAGCAAAAAATGTCGGAAATAGCTTCAAGTTTTAGAATAAATTTAGATTTATTCGAATTGGTCACATTTGGCACGAATTATGGCCTTCAAACGGCCAATGAAACCGTCACACGCTGTCCGAGTATTGCTCTGCGGTATTTTGGCCCATTTCCGGCGAATTGCTTGCTTGAGGTGATCAACACTTTGGTATTTTTTAGTGCCAATCTTGCTTTCCAAAATACTCCAGACGCAATAGTCCAAAGGGACATTCCAACCAGGGACATTCCAGGGACATTCCAAAGGGACATTCCAACCAGGTCTGCCGCCAAAATTTTTGCGTGCCTAGGGCCTTAATACACCCTCTAGAATATTTTCGCGATAATATTCGACATTTATTCTGATGCCACGTTCGATTAATACAAGCGGAGAGCGACCATAGATTGTTATGGCGGCCCACACCATCATCATGGCCGGCGTTCGAGTTCTGGTGACCAACCGAAGATGCACATTTTCAGCTGACCTCTTTGGCAAGTAAACACGATAATTTTGTTTGTTTACAAAATGCTGGACAACGAATGTTTTCTCATCGGAGAAAACCAAATTCACGCTTGAATTCCATCATGAATATTATTTTTCTGGAAAATTCTCACCAAAATGCTCTCGTACGCTTGTAAACAATAAAATGAGCTGTCACTGAAATAATTTTAAAAGCTCTACGATATATCATACATAAAATCGGCCGAAATATATATATGGGAGCTTTACTTACACCTCAACCGATTTCAATATAATTTGGTATTTTTGTGGTACCAGATTTCGCCTCTCTATCCGAATTTCATTGGAATTGGACATACATATCGCATTGGTTGCATTAAATATATATAATCGGCCGAAAATATATATACCCAAACCTCAACCGATTTCAGTATTGTATTTCCCCATATTCCCCATATTTCATATTTTTCAGATTTTAATCTTATTTGCAACGAAATACCTATAATTATGATAGGTCCACCATATCACAGTATCTCCCAATATTCGATATCATGCTAATTTTAGCCACATTTTTTAAAAGAAATATTTGAAGCTTGATATTTGGGGTTAGTAATGGACACTACTTCTATTGGCAAAATAGTTAGCAAGTAGTTCCATGTTTATATTCCTATGATATAAAACACATTTTTTATATTCTAAAAACTTTAACCACATTTTACAACAGTATTTTAAATATGTAGTTTTCAGCCTTTATTGGTATAAATTTTCGCTTTGAAAATACCAATGCTTGCAATCCTGTAAGTCCGAGTTTCACTCGGTGATAACAAAATATTTTTTTTCCAATTTATGTAAATACTCAAAAAAAAAAAAAAAATAAAAATAAATAATAATAGAATAAAATAAATAAATAAATAATAATAGAATAAAATAAATAAATAAATAAATAATTGAATATGCATAAATAAAGCTGATTTTTCTTTTTTTTTCAGGTAATCATAATTGTCTCTTCTGATGTTCTGTTTTTTTAAAATTAAAATAAACGGTAATTGTATCACTATGGCTTTTGTAAAAACTCGTATTTTCAATTGATTCTCCAGAATTTGATCCTAATTTGATCCACCATCTTAAATTATCGTCCTTCCTTAAATTATTGTAATGACAAAAAAATTGAAATAGAATAATAACACCATCATTTAGAGTATTGAGTTAGTGGGAAACTATCGTTAATATACGAGTATGTATGTATTTATTGCATATTTCATGATTTTTGCATTTCCGCAAGCAATAACTTTTAATGGTTTATTCTTGTAAAGAGACCGCAAAGCATTACTTTCAAAATTTTTTTGTGTATTCTTTTGATTGGCTAGGAAATTGTTGCATGTTACGCAAATAACCAGTATCCATTGATAATTAGTTGCAATATCAAATCCTAATCCTATCATGTGGCTGGATAGCTGTTGGTTGTCCTCTGACTATCTGCCAAACACCTCATCTTTTGTGTTACGCGAACCTTTGTTCATGCAATCGCCATCAGCGAGTAGCAAGCGAGCGAGCGAGTCATCATCAGCAGACAAACAGGTAGAAGAAGTCACTGGACAGCAGCCACCAACAATATTAGCATCCAAGCTAGCAACTTTGCCATTCAGTCAGCCAGCCAGCCAACCCAACGAAATAATCAACCCACCAACAGCTGCTCTTCTGCATTGGTATGTATGTCGTATGCCGTATTACATGCGAATTTGTAATGATGTTCACGAAAGCTTGGCGGTAAGGTTGAACTTCGACAATTTTTGGGTATAAATGGATGAGACGCCTAGTTGAGATTGTCAGTAAACCATTTGATTTAGTTTAATACACATCCAACATCGCAACGTAAAGACGCGAAACTTTCAATTTTCCAACCCCCTCTATTTAAGGCTCTTTGCTTATATCCAAAATCGCTGAAGAGTGAGAGAAGTGCAGATCACAGATTAACAAGGATTACCAGAAAGTTAAATCTGTGCGAGAACAATATCCGAAGGAAATCAAGAACGTTCTTAAAACAATCGATCGGAATGAAAGCCTTTATTTTAATGTCATGCTTGGCCTTGGCTGCCGCTAGACCCGAAGCCGGATACGCTTACAATAGACCCGGTGGTAGCGGTGGTGGTGGCGGTGGTTTCGGTGGCAGTGGAGGTTTCGGTGGTGGCAGTGGAGGATTTGGTGGCGGCAGTGGTGGCTTCGGAGGCGGCAGTTCCGGTGGATTCGGTGGTGGTGGCTTCGGAGGTGGTGGAAGCGGCGGATTTGGTGGTGGTGCTGGAGGTGGTGGATTTGGTGGCGGCGCAGGTGGTGGATTCGGTGGTGGTAAGAGAAAAAAATAAATTCGAATTTCTTAGGTCTTGGTTTTAACAAATACACATTCCAATCTCAGGATCCGGCGGTGGTTTCGGTGGTGGCGGTTCAATTGGTGGATTCGGCGGTGGAGGCGGTGCTGGTACAACTTTGGTACAAAAGCACGTCTATGTCCATGTTGCTCCTGAGGAACCCGAAGAATCTCGTCCACGTCCTAATATCCCAGTTGGACAAGCCCAGAAACACTACAAGATCATTTTCATTAAGGCACCATCCGCTCCATCGTACCAAGCTCCCGTTATTCCTGTGCAACCACAAAACGAAGAAAAGACTTTGGTTTATGTGTTGGTCAAGAAACCAGAAGATCAACAGGACATTGTCATTCCTACACCAGCTCCAACTCAGCCATCCAAACCCGAAGTATACTTCATCAAATACAAGACCCAGAAAGAAGGCGGTGGTGGTGGTGCCATCGGTGGTGGAGCTGGTGGTATTGGCGGCGGCATCGGTGGTATTGGTGGTGGAGCTGGAGGAATTGGTGGCGGCATTGGCGGAGGCAGTGGTGGTATTGGTGGTGGACTTGGCGGCGGCAGTGGCGGCATTGGAGGTGGTATTGGCGGCGGTAGCGGTGGTGGTGCTCCTTCAACTAATTACGGCCCACCCGGCAAATCTGGCCCTTATTAAGTTCACAAAATCCCTAACCAAACTGGATTATATTTTGCCAATCACATGACCGCTGACATTTGACGCAACAGAAATTTATTTAAATCCCAATGTCCACTAGTCTTTACAGTTGAACATTTTTTCTGATTTTTTGAGATACGACTGCCAAACCAAAACTGGGACAAATGACAATGACTTTTAAAAGAATTATTCTCTGTTTAGAGAATGTTGTATTTCTCTCAAAGATATGATTCACATCTTTAAGGGAAGTACAAAACTAACTTTTGCTGTAACAATTTACATGCAAACACACACGCACACACATGAAAAGAACGATCTGTGGTTATACTTCTCTTACCTACTTTTGTATATAAGCCATATTTCCCTAAAAAGTCTAGCTCTCTGGCCTTATTCTATCACTGTCTACCTTCCTCGTTCTACTTTGTATATAAGTCTCTGCAAACTATCTTGAACTATTATCTATCTATCTTGTAACTCTCATTATTAGTTTAAGTACGTCCATTTTGGAGATTAACAACTGATCTTTAAACTGAAATCTCCAAATGGATTTGTTATGTTTAAACTGTTTATTGTTTAATTTTGTATAATTTGTTAAGAAGTTTTAAAATGCATAATAAAAAATTACGGTGACAAAATTAATTAGAAGTTGTCAAACATTTTTTGTATCCGATGGGAGGTCGTTGGGAGTAAACTAATTTAATTACATTTATACTGACGTTCAACCGAGTTGAGATTGGTGAGTGGAATTTTATACAATTGAAATTGGGTTCCATATCATAATCCCCACGGACATAACCCCCTTTACAATTATGGATATTATGATTTTTTTCAGTCAAAACCCCTACAATGTTGAAAAATCTGTCATAATCCCCAGAAAGCAGCAGACATATAATGAATAATGGAGATTATGTCCAAAACGATTGCGGACATAAACCCCGTTAGGGGGTAGGTATTTTTATCCTGATTTCGGTAAAATAATTTTAGCGGCAAAGCGCTTGCTTGAGGTGATCGACACTTTGGTATTTTGCGCTGAAAATGAAGCGAGGAACCTCATTTTTTGACCATTCTTGTGTGGGGCGTGCTGAGAACTGTTGGAATGTCCAAGGTCTGCGGCCAAAATGTTTGCGTGCCCAAGTCTTTAATACACCCACCAGAATATGTTCGCGATAATATTCTGATAAGCGACCATCGGCTGTTATGGCGGGCCATCACATGACCGGCGCTTGAGTTCTGGTGGCCAACCGAAGGTGCACATTTTCAGTTGACTTCTTTGGCAAGAAAACACGATAATTTTGTTTCTTTACAAACTGCTGGACAACGATTGTTTTCCCATCAGAGAAAACAAAATTCGGCAGTTCACCACTTTCGGCCAAGCGCAGCAACTTTTTAGCTCTTTTGAGTCTATGTTCTTTCTGCTGTGGTGTAAGTCCTTGCACTTTTTGGAATTTCAATGGCTTTACCCCGAGCTCATTTTTCAATATTTGCCGAATGGAATATTGCAATATGTTCATCTCACGAGTCATTTTTCGGCCACTGCGACGCGAGTTTCGATCAAGTTGTTTCTTTACTTTTCGAACCATTTCTGCTGATGTTGCTGTTGTATTCTGTCCACTTCCTTGACGTCCAGGAAAATATAAAGAAATCACATTACCACGCTTGAATGAATTCCATCATGAATAACTTTTTTTCTCGAAAATCCTTACCAAAATGCTTTTGTAGGCTCGTAAACAATATAATGAGCTGTCACAGGAATAATTTTAACAGTTGTAGAACGAGTGGCTTAGATATGACAGCAATCTAAAGTTGGTTGCAGTTTTTTCATCTCACCCTGTATTTGCATACAACGATTTTAAAAAGTGACATTACATGATGCCTCTCCCACAAAAGATCAAATGAAAGGATGAGTGCGAAATATCGGATATCGTCTAGTACCTCCCTATAACGGCGTAGAACAGAACAATTTTATCCGAAATTAGGCATATGTGATAGGAAAACAGTAGTAGCGAGTTTCAGTTTACGAGAAAGCAAATACCAGTAAAATCGATAGGAAAAAGTGGCCAGGTACTTTGTCTTAACATTCAACCGAAACATTTGTATACTCCCCACCTTGGAAAGGTGGAGGTATTCCTTCCGTTTGTAACACCTCAAATCTAAGATTATTTAACAATTTCAGTCTGTCTGTTGATATCTCGATACAGTCCACATTATTTGTCATAAAGCTTAGAAATATGGCACAATAGTTTGAATTTGTATTCAAAATGATGTACGTGTTTTCCTGTAGCGTTTCCACATCCATGTGCCCATATAACTGTTCCTCCCGATAATCGGTATTTTAATTACTTTAGCCCCATTTTCTAATGAATTTGTATAAATTTAGGTATTTGTAATTCGTAATAGAATATAACTCAGGTGGAAGAATATTGTACGTATATTTTCATGATTTTTGGCCCATTTTTTCACGAAATGGTTCCAAATTTAATTTGGATACTGCGCTTGAGCATTGTCCATGTTTTACCATAGCACCCATATTAATATACCTTTGCTTATTAGATATTTTCACGATTTTAGCCAAATATTCTATCGGATTTGTTTCAAATTCGGTTTTGTAGTTCATAATGGGTTGTACAACAGGTGTCCAAACATTTTCCATATTCGCCCAATGTTTCCATATAACTGTACCCACAGACATACAATATTTTCATGTTCTTAGCCGGGCCCCTTAACTGCATTCTTCAATCTCGCTGGTATTTGCAGATTAAAGTAGATGGGATTGAAAGTTCGGTCCAGCCACATTTAATGTTTTTATACCCTCCACCATACTATTACCACACATGTTTATTTTTCCAGCGTTCTGGTTAAGTTCGTAAATGGGCCATGTAGGTCCACGTTTTCATATAGCCGCCATATAACGGTTCCTTCCGATATTCGGTATTTTGATGATTTTAGCGACATTATTTACCGAAATTGTTTCAAATTTAGTATTTGAAGATTGAAATTGATACTACAACCTAAGACAGAAAATTGTCTGTGCAGGTCCATGTCTTCGTATAGCCCCCATATAACTCCCAAAATTCGGTATTTTGACGAGTTTACGTACAATATCCACCAATATTGTTTGAGATGTTGTATTTGAAGTTCGTAATGGATACTACAGCCTGTGACAGAAAATTGTCAATGCAGGACCAGGTCTTCGCACGGCTCCGATATAACGGTACCTCCCTATATACGATATTTTGATGATTTTAGCTACATCATTCACCGTTTATTTCAAGTTTCGAATTTGAATATGGCAATGGATCATGACAAACAATGCCTATGTAGGTCCACGTCGTATAGACCTCAATATCACGGCTATATTCGGTATTTTTAGAACTTTAACAGAATTTTTTAAGGATTTTATTTTTTAAAAATTTCCAAATTCGTTCCAAATGGTGGAGGGTATTCAGCCGGGCCGAACTTACTGCTTTTTAACTTGTTTTACTTGTTATTTAATGCTTTGATCTACCAAAATCTTCCAAAAAAATATCGACATAGGTAGTAAGTTCAGTCTGGTCGAACTTTCACGAAGATATGCAAAATGAGGATCAAGATATATTCAAATCCAGCAATTTTCATTAAATATAAGAAATATAAGAATTCAAAAATTCCGTTGAAAAATGGTGGAAAGCCATCAAAATATAGGATATAGGGTGCTACTGTTATATGGGAGATATACCACAGTGTGGACTTATATTAAATGTAGAAACGAACAAGTAACAACCTTCAAAAACTAAATTCCACACAATTTCTTTGAAAAATTTGCTAAAACTCGTTGAAATTCTTATAATGAGGGTTTAAATTTTTATTGGAATTTTCATTTTTATACCCTCCATTATTCCTTATATAACACTTCGAAATATTCATCATACACATTTGTTAGGTAATTTTTAATTAATAACACATTATTATTCTTATGTAGAAGGGAATTTGTTTTTTTTTCTGTGTATATTGGTAATCAGCATAAAATGCTTGGCCTATTTCCAAATTAAATAGAATGAATTTGGCATAGATATGTGTATGGTTCCTAATATATTTATAGGTATACCCCCTATAACAGTACTTCTTTATTTTCGGAATTTCGAAGGTTCTTTTCGATTTTCAATAAAATTAGCCCCAAAAATCAAAGCATCACTTTTTATTATAGCCTTTGTATAACTGTTCCTCCTTATTCTCCGCATTCCGATTTTTATATCCTCCACCATTCTATGTAACTTCTCGAAATATTCATAATAGACCCTGCAGAGTATGTATATTCTGGATCACCGTAAAATTCTAAGAAGATATAGCCATTTCCGTCTATCTGACTGTCTGTTGTAATCACGCTATATTTCGAAAGAAAATTTTGCATGCATGCATACCCAGTAGGCAGGTTAATATCGTAAATGGGACATGTTAGTCCACGTTTTCGTATAACGGTATCTCCCGATATTCGGTATTATTACCGGAATTATTTCAAATTTCTTATTTGAAGTTCGCAGTGGGTACTATAACCTATGACAAACACTTTTGTATACAGGACCACGTCTTCGAATAGCTCCATATAACAGTACCTCCCGATATTCGGTATTTTGATGAGTTCAGAAACATTATTCACCGGAATCGTTTCAAATTTCGTATTAGAAGATCTAAATTGGTACTACAACCTATGACAAACTATTTTGTATGCAGGTTCACGTCTTCGTATAGACCCCATATGGCGGTACCTCCCATTATTCGATATTTTAATGATTTTAACAACATTATTCACTTGAACGGTTTCAAATGTCGTATTTAAAACTCGTAACGGGTACTACATCCTATAACAAGAAAAGTCGAATGTGGGTTCACGTTTTCGTATCGTATATTTCATGTAAGTGGTAGTGTTCGAATTTTTTTTTTTTTTTTTGAAAATTTTTAAATTCCCATAAAGCGGAACTTTCGCCTTTAAGGATTTTAAAAATAGCCGATTCTTCTTTTTCGAACTTATCGTCGTTTTACTTGTTGGGTATAATATTCTTTATAGCCAATATAGCAATCCCCCGTAAGTGGCGTGTATAAATGACACCTTGTGCCCTTTTCCTCATTTTATATCCATTGGCATAAGATGCTATACCATTTAAACACCTTTAGCAAGAATACGGATGTAATTACTTATATCCTATTCCATATAAATATTATTTAATTATTTTTCCATAATTCTATATTTTGCATATCATTTTAATATTTTATAGGAAAAAGATAAACAAAACTATCGTGATTTAACCGCAATCTAAGTCTGCCAATTTATTTCAAAGTTATGAGAATTTTAATAAGATTTTGCATTTGGAAAATAACACCACATCCTAGCGATGCTTTACCCCAAGTCTGCAACTGTGAAACATCCCTCGAGGCACAATTCTTCTGCTGCCCGCTTGACTCTCTTTAATGTTGCAACAGCAACAACCACAATTGCATAAACATGCCTAGGTATCCGGAATCTATGCGATGCATCGCATCGCATCTAGTATCTGTTCAAGGAAGTTAAATAACAAAACTTTTAGGAAAATTGTAGAAAAAACCTAATTCAGCTGAAACGACAGATAATGCAGGCTGTTGTGTACTTAGCAAATATATTTTCTACA